AAAACCAACCATTTCCAAAAGGAAGAAAAAACAACGCTAAAACTCCGCCGCGTATGGCTCCTTTCTCTCAGCGTACAAATTGGATATCAGATTATTTATCTAATCGCAACAAAAGTCAACTAGAAATTTAAAAATTTTCCAGAAACTTCAGAGTAATAATTTTCCTAACGGGCACAAGTTTCCGGTCATTTTTCTACACTTCTGATGGCACATCGGGACATTCTGAAACTTTACTTTTGAAAATTGCGACATCACTGGTTGACAACATGATATTTGGTTTCTTCCAGCGGTTCAACAGCCTGCTAGGTTTTTGGAGGTCAATTATTTTTGACTCCAATCAGGCGCTGAATGAAAAACGAGACTGACATGACGAAAGCAAAACAATAAGGTAATGGTTCATATGTAGCATAATAACAATACGCAACGCTTCGCCTACCCGGCCACAGAATTGCAGCGCCATTTTCCCACTGACTGTTGCCCAGGGGACATATAAACAAGTCGCGGGTCCGCTGCATTTAAGCTTTTGCATTGTTGGATATATTTTACAGCACTCTATTGATTATTACAATACCATCATAGTGGATGGTGAGGGGCTTACATTATTTATGGGCTACCGCATGAATATCAAATATGCATGTTATTTAACGAGTTACTATTCCAAGACCAGGCTTCACACGAATAACACCTCTTCGTTACTCATAATTACCCATGAACAGGCAGGTAAGCAGGCCATGGCTCCTTGCTCATGGTGTTTGAGCATCCACAGGAGCTCAGTCTGAATCAGGTGAAAAATCTTGTAATTGACTAACGACGTTACTACCGGATTGTCTAGCAGTTTGTGTTCTGTGCCCTTCCGCAGACAACAGAAGTTGTTGTAGAGGTCAGCACTACTACTGTAGGCAACCATCCCTTCGGCCCCCATCATTCATGATCCGTTCATGATCCGAATTTCACGCATAAAGGTCGACTACTAACTTAAAAATTCCAGACCATTACAGAGTTCAAAAACAATTACGCCGAACGTTTCGAACGCTACGGTGGTCGTTCAGAAAAGAATTATTACCGACACGTACAAGATATCAATCGTACATCACACGAGCCGCATGATGTTGCCATTTTTTACCTCAGTCGATTACTAGTCTTGAAACTGTGCATAACTATTCTCGCGCTTTCACACTGCAGTTGGTTCGAAACTTGCATGGCCAATGCTTTTCAAGAAGCCTGAACTTCAGGTTTAGCCTCAATATACCGTATACTTCCATATCGTAAACCCCAGCACACCGTGGACAATAAGGATGACGAGAGGAAAGAGACCAACAGAACGTTTATGGCCTTCGTTTAGAAATGTGGACAAATATACTATTTTCATGTTTTACTATCGGTTAACTAAGATGCATTTGATTATCGCTTCGTTTAGGCTATCTCTGTTGATAGAACTCTGCAATGCAAGTCAACTTTCTCCACTTTCTTTAAAACCTTGCCAAATTTTCGGTTAATCCTATTTCGGTTAAATAATGATCAAGAGCCATTGATCGAACGAGGGTGAAAGACAGCCTACTGCTTAAACGGAATCGCCAAAGAATTACACCACAAAGCAAAACGGCAAAGAGTACTTATATCACAAAATACAGTACTACAATTGGACACTTGGAGCTAACAGAAAAAATTGATATGCAAATTAATCACCAGTGGAACCAAAGCAGAATTGCTAAAGATTATTAAAGACAGGCAGAGAACTTGGCGCGATGGCGTGATGAATACAGGGTTTTTTGCATTTCAGATGTGCCACCTCCAGATTCCATATGCAGGTTCAAATTTATCGAATCAACCGCTAATTTTTTTGAGCAGCGAATTCATTCCATTGTGCTCCAGTGAAAGCAGCCTATAAATAGGTTGGAAAACGATAACCGGCGAAGAATAGAGACCGAAGGTCGTCTGGTGTGTGCGTTTTTATCTGAAATTTGCTTGGAACATTCTAATGGATGATTAAACTTTAAATAAACTGAGAGCTGCTAGAATAAAAAATTACGTTTTTCGTTTACGCCTAACATCAATATTTCAAATTACCACATCTTGTAATCTCAGATGCTCAGAAACTTGATGATCAGCATGCAACTGCTGTAGGTGGAATACTGTTCCGCTATAATTAAGCAGAATGAAACTAAGCTTCTTTTATGTAAAATTGAGATTATAATTATAACTGAAAGTGTTCGTTTCATAATTTATCTTATACTGCAGCAAAACTTTGTGATTAAGCAACAGTTTATCATTAATTAAATTTTTTTCATCCACCTTTAGGGTGGTAAGAGCAGTTCAATCGATAAACCGCAGATCTAGCATCGCAGGAGTCTCACACTCCTCATAAGCTGTTCTTATGCTTCAGTATTCTAAGTAAAGAATTTATCTAAGAAAACATTCACAGTTCATTCCGTCGTCCTCCGTTCCTGGCCGCCTAAGGAAGCCACGGCTACAGGCATTTAAACACCTGTCATGTCATATGCGTCTCGTATCATTTTGCCCTCTAAAGTCACATCGTATTCATCATGAACGGTTTTTCAAAAGCTAATACTCATTATATTCTACAGCATAAATATCGTAAGTTGTTGATACGCAGGTGTATGCCAAATAAGGAATGACTCTTTCACGAGCATAGAGCTGTGGTATGCTCTTATGGCTCTCACAGGCAATAATGAACAATGGTTGACTGAATATGCCATGAAATCTAGTCTTTGATGAGTCATTCGCCATCCCATGGATATTCCACAATGCTACGTTTTGAAGAAATGATATTCTACGCGTTGAGCTTGCAACAACTGTATGCAATGCCATCATTTGCATGATCAGTAAGGCATTCGTGGTTGATAGAGTTGAAACATACATCAGTAAGGAGCTGTTAAGATGCAAAAATAGAAGGATTGAAACAGTAGCCAACGGTCAAATAAATAAAAACGCCTGGCTTAGCCACATTAAATGCCCATGTAGCACGTTTAGAGTGTCTTGCGTAAGGGATGGACAGGAATGTTGGTTAACGTTGGAATGCCGGTCATTCTTCACTTTCATGATTGGGTCATATTGGCGCCATTCTTTTCATGAAGTTGATGATGCTGTGCTGATCTCCGTTTCTGTGCCATCATCCAGGAATGCTTCCTCTTTTTAAAGCAGAATCTACAGCTACGTGGCAAGCGTAACGTGTAGCCTCCTGCTTCCTTCCCAAAGAGTGGTACTTATTTATCAACTTCAGAAGAAGAAAGTCCAGCGACCCTGGCGCAACGGCTTGAATTGACGATCTATCGGTTCAGAGTTCGACTGAGCAACCCAGATCTGAAGCAACGTGCGGCAAATTTTGTGTGGCCATTTTGCGTAAGACTGCTTTTTGACTGCTTTTAGGTCGTGATCAATTTAAGCAACTACTTTGATTAAGACTACTGGATATTGATGATCAAAGCAGCTGCGTGAGTGTCTCTGTCGATTTCCGTGAAATGATTTGGAGAAGACTGATACGATATCTAACGGGTTTTGTGACAGTTC